AATTTTGTAGTAAGAATGAGATTATGATCTAGTTTCGTTCTCATGTGTGCTGATATTCAGAATTCCCAGCAGCATTTGTTAAAGATGCCATCCTCCCTCCCATGTTTATTCTTAGTATCTTTGTTAAAAAGTGGCAGATGTTGCTTCATGAACATATACATGGGCCTCCTATTCTATTCCATTTGTATTCATTTTTAGATTCATTTCATTTCTCTCTTGTTGAACCAAGATCTTAAGCACCATAATCAACAAGTGGAGAGAGCGGACATCCTTCCTTGTCTTCTTCCTGATCTTGGTGGAAATGCTTTGTGTTCTTTTCCATTTAGCACAATGCTGGTGATAGCTTTGACATATGCAGCCTTTATTATGTTGAGGCATCTTCCTTCCATTCCTAGTTTCTCCATGACTTTTGCGATGAAGAGATATTAAATTTTATCAAAGGCTTTTCCTGTTATTATTAAGATGATCATGTGATTTTTGTCTTTTAGTCCATTTATGTGACAAGTTATATTTATTAGTTTTTGAGCCAACCTGATCATGGCTAAAGCTAACTTGATGAGATCTTGGACTAGGTTTGTGAGTATTTTATTGAAAAATTCCTGGAAATACGTGTGTGTGTGTGTGTGTGTGTGTGGTGTGTGTATGTGTGTGTGTGTGTCTGTGTATGATGCATATGATGTATATGTGTATGTGTGTATATATATATGATGTATATGTATATATACATATATACACAGACACACAGACACAGATACACACACACAGACACACACACACACAGACACAGACACACACACACACACACACATATATATATATATATGTGTGTGTGTGTGTGTGCAGCTGGAAGATCATGGTGTAAAATTATCTTTTTTTCTTCCTTTATGCTTTTTGCTTTATTTGACTTTGATATCAGTGTAACACTGGCTTCATCAGAGTTTTGAAGCCTTATTTACTACTTTAGGTAATAGTTGAGCAGTATTGGGGTTAGTACTTGAATTTCTGGTAGGATTTTGCAGTGAGTCCATCTGACCCTGCCCCAACCCCATTGGTAGAAAATTTTCTCTGGAAGTAAGACTAACAAATAACAAACAAATTCTTATAAAACCAAGAAGCTTCTGTATTTGAATTTCTGGTAGAATTTTGCAGTGAGTACATCTGGCCCTGCTCCCACCCCTACTAGTAGAAATTTTTCTCTGGAAGTAAGACCAACAACTAACACAAACTCTTATAAAAACAAGGCTCTTCTATACAGCAGAATATAGAAAAGAAGCAGCTACAAGAAGGTAGGGGTGGTGGATCTTTGAAAGCTATATCCTGGACTGAGGATTAATGATTAGAGTATAAAACTAACTAAGAAAGTTAAACAGTAAGAAATAACTCAGTAGGAGAATGGACGATGTGACTGGACAAAGAGGTTTCAAAAGAATAAATGCAAATGGATAGAGAACACTTAAACTTTCAATATAATTAGCCAGCAAGGAAATGTGGATTAAAACCATTCTAAGATCCTTTCCAGTCAGAACAGTGATCATTAGGAAAACAAATGTGGATGGGCAGGGGGAACCTTTATGGGCTGGTGGGAACAGACAGGAATGGCACAGTGCTGTGGAAATAGTCTGAGGCCTATCAGAAAATCAGACTAACTCAGGCAACAGTTATGCTGCCCTGGGCATATATACTACGTTTGTGTGTGTGTGTGTGTGTGTGTGAATGTACACCTACATGCACACACACACAGACACACACATACACCTACTTGCACATACACACACACACACAGACACACACAGACACCTACATGCATACACACACACCTACATGCACACACACATACACACACAGGCACACACATACACCTACATGCACACACACACACACACACTATATCACACTACAGAAAGTGTCTGCATATTCATGCTCACTGCTGCTGTACTCACACAAGATGGGAAATAGAAGCAGCCTATATATTCATCAACTGATGAATGGATACTGAAAATACTGCATATATGTACCACAGAATTTTATCTGCAGGTAAGTGGATGGAGCTAGGAGAAAATTACATTGAGTAAGGTCACGCAGGCCCAGAGGGTCACAAAATAAAACACATGAACAGAAGTGTGAAAAAGAGGTTTGTAGGGAAGAAGAGTAGTTACAGAGGGTAGGAAGGGGCTAAGAGAGAGTGCAAGAGGAGAGTACATGTATGAAAGCAGGAGCAAACTTGATACTAGAAGAACAATGCCACAGTGAATTCAGCATCTTTTAAAAACAGTAAAAATTCAATTTAAGTAATTCTGTTTAAGAATTCTATTTAAGCAATATTAAATATGTATATGTAATTTGTATATTAAGACTACTAATCTCTTTAAAAAATAACTTCACGTAACGTGTCAAATTGAAATTAGCTGATCTGGCTGATGTTTTGACATCATCTCTCTAGTTGGAAAATTATAAATTTATTTCATTCTCCAACTGTTCAGCAGGCACATGAACATGTTTTTAGTCTTTAAGAGGAAATATGATTGTACTTTATACTATGTATAAGGTGAACAATTAATGAAAATTATTCCTAATTATTTATTTTAAATACCGAATACTATTTTGCGGAGGCAGTAGCAAATCTTTCCTGATGTGTCATGATGGAGTCATTCTCAAAAAAGTGATGGCTACAAAATTGAGTAAACACAGAACCAGTAAAGAAAAGATTTCCTCACACTGTGTTAGAAGCCAGCCAGCTGAAGGACACACACTATGGAAATTTTTTGAGAGATGCGTGAGTATTTTTCCCTTCATGCAGGCCTCAGCCACAGAGTGAAAATCCATCTTGCCTAAGGATGATGCCAGAGCTGCCCTTTGATGACCCATTTCTTCCCCACTCCATCCTGTTTGTTTTTTTTCAACAGAAGGCACATCACTCCATCTAACGAAAGGGAGTAACCTGAGTGAGTTCCCCTCTCCTCTCTTTCATTTCGTGCAAGTACCTGCACGAGTCACTGTGAAAAGCTGATGACTCCAGCCTATGACCCATTCTTCTGAGTTTGCTTTTATTCCTCAGGCACTTGTGCTATTTTTATTTTCAGCTCTAATCTAATTTCTAACCAAGTCTCTTTTTCCTTAATTCTGGTTTACCAGATGTATGACTCCTATCAATGGCCCACAAAGCTACAGCTCATTATTGATGTTATATTACTTACCTCTAGTCATTGCCATAATATATATATATATATTTGTATACATATATACGCATATATGTATATATACACATATACATATATGTATATATACACATATATACATATATGTAATATATATATATATATATATATATATATATATATTAAAAATGACCATGAAGCTCCTTACCATCCTCCCTTTTAACAGATTCGAGTCAACAGAGAAAACTTGCCTATCACTAGTCTATTGTTCATATGTTTCTCTGGAGTCATAAATATTAATTAACTACCAAGAACCCCTATGAGTGGGCACTTGTAGATAGGAGTGGGTACTTTTGAGGAGCCTTGACCCTCTGGCCACTGTGCTTAACACATCCTTTATCTTCTCCAATAATTAGCTAGTCTTAATTCTCCTTCACTCACAAGTCAGGCTAGAAAGACTGAGCAGATTATTCAAGGATTTCCATTCAAATGTTTAAATCTTCACCACTAAAAGAATGCAGTATTTCTTCCCAACAACAAAATATTGTGGACATTCAAAGGCCTTGACTTAAGGAAGAGAGAATAACAGAAAAAAAGAATTTAAAAAAATCTGTTTTCTGATTTGAGCTAGAAAATCAAGAAGCATATGAGCCAAAATTGTTCAGATTTTATTTTCCATCCGAATCTGTTTGTGTGCTAAATTGACTATTCTTAAGCCCTCCAGGGTAATATGAAAAAAGTAGGGGGAGGAAGGAACCTATATCTGTACAGATATGAAAACCAGACTTATAAATAAAAATCAAAGTGTACAAAGTCATTTTACCACAATCACAGAACCTGATCTAGATTCTATGAATCCAGGGAAAAGGTAACTTAAACCAGAAGAAATTCATGTGGACTTAAGCATCCCAGGCCTCGAGAAGGACCACGATAAATAGTCTAATTCTCCTGGTTTCTCGTAAAGGGTAGCCATCCCCTCAAGTATGACTCCATGAGCAATGACAGGATACTGAGAAAAAGCTGATATGGCAAGTTGTCCAGCCTGGAAGTGGTGAGACCATTTGTCTGACAAACTAGTAAGAGCTCAGGTAAGCACCCATTCAGTTTGTACTTGAGACAGGCCTTCTCCCAAAGGCACAGGGAATTCAAAAGGTGTTGTATAAAGGAGTGCTGGATTAAGGTGGCGTTTGGAATTGTTAACTCAAAAAAAATTGCTAATAGATAGCAAATAGGACAGAACGGAAAAAACAATATAGGGCTTTCTTCATAATTACTAGACTTTGAGGTGATAAATGTCTGAATCACACTTTGGAAGCTGAGGGGCTGAGAAGGAAGGCGTGCGGGTGAAAGGCATTTCCGGGCATTTGAATAGGGGCAGAGCTCTGGAACCACTGACAAGCTTCAAGTATGTTCCCAAACAGGGAGTTATTCCGGCCTTGAGTTGGCAACTCAGCTCTCCAAAAGTATGCGCTAGAAACACCAGCCCTGACTACAACAGTCACCCACAGCAACTAAAGCCACCCACTACCCGGCAGATGACCCCATAGAGCAAACCAACCCATCTGGTCCAAGCTCCCCACCTCCTCAGGGCTTGAGTCCGAAGACAGGGAGGATGGAAAAATTTGGGGAGTAGTCCCAGCCTCACTAGAAGGACATTCATTCCTCAAACCCTCCTCTCAGGTGTTCCTGAGAGGGAGGATGACATCTGGCCAGTCCTCCGCTGGCCACCACTCCTCCCCCCCGGGGGGTGGCATTAGGAAACCCTGGACAACCCGCTAGTAAGTCCTCGCGTGCCTAAGCGCCTCCCTAGACTTATAAAGGCGCTGTGCCGCGCTGGGTAGTTGAGCTCACTTGCCTGACTGCTCAGAGTCACAGCGACTTGGTCGGCTCTGGTTCCTGGATCAGCCCTGTTCCAACTCTGTCACTGGCGCCTCGCTCCTGCCCGCCGCCCCGCACTCTGCAAGCCGCACTGAGACAGAAGGATGGAGACTCTCCCTGCCGCTTGGGTCCTGGCGCTGCTTTGCCTAGGTAAGCCCTCGCCGCCCCCAAGTGGAGAAGGTGGGGAGGAAGGACCCGTGCATTTGTCATAAGGACAAGTATGGAGTTGTCCATCCAGCTCAAGTGCGCTCAGTCTAAGAGGATGTCTTTTGCGAGTCTGTCTTTTCCATTGGTGGGGTTGGGGAAGTGCTGGAGGGTGTGACTTTGGTCGGTTAAAATTGCATTTCGTAGACAAATTCATTACTGGGTTATCTTCTGCCTGAATTAATATCAAATTTTACTGGGATATTTTTTTAAAGTTGAAAAGATTTTTTTCTTTTCCTTTTGAAAATGAGACAGTTCTAGAATCTCAAAGGTATGGACAGTAACTCTATAGATAATGATTTACTTTCTTGGGGTGGAGCAGGAACAGATTATTTTATCCTGCTAGAGACCTTTGTGCAAAGGACCCGTTTTACAACCAGGGGGCTCTGGGATGTACCTGCTCCAGCAGAGTTGCTGGGGCCAAGGTTATCTGGGCAGGTCCAGAAAGAAACTGCCAACAGACCTTTGACTTCTCACCTACTGCTCTCCCCAGCACCCCTGCCTCCCAGGCTGTAAAGATGGGTAGCTTAGAGAGGCTCTTGTTTGTTTTATTGGTAGTTTTCTTGTTTGAAATGAGTTAGCTCTTGTCGGCAGGAGCACGAACCGGGGAGTTCCCATTGTTTGTAACGTTTCTTTTTTTCTTTTTTCTGTTTTTGCTTTATTTTGTTTGATCAATTGTCCCTAATTTCTTAAGCGCCAGATGATTTAAGAGTTGTATATGAACGTTCCCAACTGATGAACATTTTAATAAGGAAATAAAAGTTACCAGTCTCACATTCTTCTTGAACTTGCAATGAGACAAATTTCCCTGAGACACTATCTGTGCAGGATGTGACAGTTAAATTATTATTTCGACACACCTTACATGCCTTGGGAACCCTAATGAAGTACATACTATGCATACTTAGAGAGTACACGTTTAAGGGCAAGAACCCAAGTGGAAACTGGATCTGTGGTTTCTGTCAAAAAAGGAGCTAAGAATGCCTTGCTAGAAGAGTCACCTTAAACAATGTGGGTTCGCTGTGTTTGGTTTGAGGTCTCTGTGCAAAGGAAAAACTCCAAACGGCGACAGTCTTCTTCGAGTTAGACATGAACCTAAAGGTCACAGTGGTGGAATGACTTTGTTTTTCCACTTGCAAGGTGTATAGGAACAATGCAAGTGTCTGTTCTGCGCATCTCAGTGGATATGCTAATGCAGGATAGCAAGAGTCTATGAATAATGAGGTTGCTAGCCACCTAGTGCGCGTGCTGTGTGTGTGTTTTTGTTGTCATGAAAGCGCTTAACTTCTTTATTGCAGTACTTAATTACACTTCACCTGTTTCATCAGCCGCCAAGCCCGTTTCTAAATGAGCTAGGTCAGTTTCTGTTCTCCCAGTCTGTTGAGATACTTCTTGTCACTAGCAAAGTTCCTGTTTGGAGTTCTATATTGTATCTCTCTAGCCTGGCATGCAAGTAGGTCTTATTGTTTCATTCCAAAGCATAGAGAAAGAGAAAGAAAGAGATAAAGAAAGAAAGAAAGGAAGGAAGAAAGAAAGAAAGAAAGAAAGAAAGAAAGAAAGAAAGAAAGAAGGAAGCAGGGCCACTTAATGTTGGAATGTGTACTCCTCCTCAAAGAAAAGATTGCCTAGAAATCAGACTTTGTCCCTCTAAGGAAAGTGATATTTTAGATTTAAGCATACTTTGATTGCTTTTGTTGAATGCCTATGCATTTATGATTTTGAGTGTCGTGTTCCACCATCCATTTCTAATGTATGAAGTTTCAAGTAGCTACATACAGCCATTCCACTACTATTATATTTATAAAAGTTTGAGATCAATGCTCTTGTTTTATCCACAAGGAAACTGACCCAAGTTCCCATACAAAACAGATGATAAGTGGGGAGAGGCAGGGTCTAAGTTGACTAGTATTTTTAGTTAAATGAACATTAGGTAAAAGGGTGGACACAGCTCAGTTAGGAACAGTTTTCTGAATAATATGTAAGTTTACAGCTGACTTGTTCCGTCTGATCTTGTGATATCAGAGAGAAGGTGAGACATTTTTTTATTTTAAGTTCTGCAGTTGGCAGTTATGTGTAGTGAGGCCTGACATTCTCATTCATGTTCAAATGGGGTTTTGAGGATATACATGAGTGACATCTCCATAGCCTCGGGACCCAGTGACTACTGACACCTGCTAAAGAGTGACCTTGAACTTTGTTGTGTGGCTTTACTACATGGTGAGAGAATTAAGCAGGGTAAATAGTCTTTCTCAAAACTACGAGAAGCAGAATCTCAGTGAGACAGTGGGATTACCTTCTGTTGACCCTGGGAGTTTATGATCTACCTGACTGTTGGCATAACCTGAGATGGCACACCTGGGCAGAAGGCATGCTGATGGGACTCTCCTGTCTGGATTTTGACCCATGTATCCCGGGTACCTTTTGCATTGTCTTACCACTTGAGCAGCTTAGATAATTGGGGTGTCTGGTTCAGCACTGGAATCCAAATCCAGGAGGTGAGACAAGAAGTAGCTATTACCAAATGCCTGATGTGGGCTGGCCACGTTATGTGTTAGGCATCTTAAACCCAATCACCCCATTTTATCTTTAAATAATCACTGAATAAAGCCAGGGTTAGGGTGTCAGTAGCAGATGTCAGTAGTCATTGGGTCCAAAGGCTAATAGCTAGTCAAAATAACAAGTTCTAATAGAGAAATCCCAGAGTTAACTAGGGCTGTCCTGGGACTTGGAACCTGTTCTATGTGGGCTCACTTCTGGTACCAAACCAAGCAGAGAAAACACTTATCTATCCTTTCAACCTGGGCTAAAATAGTTGACTTTTTAATATAATATTCATATTATGTATGAATGTATGCATATATGACATGTATGTGCACACAAGCTTGTGTGTCAATAGCTTCCATATTGCACATTTATAATTTATGATTTTGACCTAAAAGGTTTATTTTTATTCATATAGATCTTAGACATGAGCTTCATTATGAAGTAGTTATTGAAGCTGGCAGGGTCTTTTGTTTCTCTTATTTTCCAAAATATATACCAACTAAGGTAGTTAGGAAGAGATTATCTTATCTTGTGTCTTTATGGAATTGTTAATTTTTCTGCCCAGTTTTATGAATCTCCTATTCCCTGAGTAGAGAGGCAGAAGTGAGGAGTCCTTTCTAAAGAGACTAAATCGAGGTGTGGCTTCCTCATTTGCATTCTAAATATAGGCTTATGCAAATTGTCTATTAGTGTGGCTATAATTGCTGTTGGGAGCATTCCACTGGAAGACAATGGGAAGGCTCCCCAAAACTGTGACAGGCAAAAACCTTAGAGAGGAGCCACCTGACAGCCTTGGAATGCCAATGTAATCCTGGAACATTTTTTTTTAAAATGAGGTATATGCAACAGACTTGGTGTCCTCTGGCGATACTGTTTGTGTAAGTCTGGGTGCCTAGCTAGAGAGCAGAGAAAGGTTCAGTTGCATTCAAGGTTAAAGTAATGATTTAATTAACTAGCATGCTATTTCTAATACTCAAGATCATTTAACTTCTTAGGTCAAAATCATGAATTATAAATATGAGATATGGGAGTTACTGACACCCAGAGTTGTGTATGCATACACATTTATCATATGTCAGGACTTTATAGTTTGTAATTGAAAGACTTAGTGATGGAGCACACATTTCACCATTGAGTTAACCTGTTCCTCTGGTACTGTTCTAGTCATACCTTAGAGTAAGTCTGTATCTAAACAGGGTCAGTGGGGACATCAGGAAGTAACAGGTTATGTTAAATAACCATGTTGGCTGGATTCAAGACTAGATTGAAAACGTATCTGGTTCCCATTTTTTCTTTAAGCAGTGCTTCTTGTATGTATCTGAGACAAAAGATATCTTGAAATTAATTGATAGTTTTTGAAAATCCTATGGTCAGTACCAATTTAACCTAATTTCCCACTTCTTGTATCCCATTTTCTCTGGTTATAGACTATTCACTGAGGATATGCTTACCCGACTTCATGTACTTCCTGTTCTCTCTCTCTCTCTCTCTCTCTCTCTCTCTCTCTCTCTCTCTCATTCTGTGTGTGTGTATGTGTATGATGGAGAAAGAGGGGAGGGGAAGGGAGATATGGAGGCAGACAGACAGAGAAGAGAAGAGGAGGGGTTGGATATTTAGCAGTGAGAAGATGGAATGGTGGATAGGCAGTAGAAGAATGAAGAGTTATCTAATTCAAATCCTGCACATCCCTGCATCTGAACTCACTCTCTGGTCTTTGTTTCTAGACATAAGGAATTTCTTAGTAAGGGGATAAAATGGACTGAGCTAGACCTGGAGCCCATATCTCAGGAGTCTGGTGCATGATATTTGACACTGACTCTACAGACATGGATGGGCCAGCCTGAGCATTACAGGATGTTAAGCAGCAAATCAGGATTTTACCCACTAGATGTCAGTAGCAACTCCTACTGTGAAACCCCTCCAGACCTCATCAAACACCCTTGACTGATAAAATTGGCTTTGGTTGAAAACCACTGATCGAACATATGCTTTTGTTGTCTCCCATAATTCACAAACTGAATTACCAAGACGTTCATACTAGTGATTGCCTGGATACCACTTCTAGTGTTTTAAAAGTCATCTTTGGGGGTTCCATGATAGAATACTTGCCTAACATGAACAAAGTCCTGTTTAATGTCAGCATCACAAAATCTATCAGCTTAGCTACACGTGTTGCTGGTTTTAGCAGCGGTACTTGCATCTTGTGAATCCTTTCTTCAGATATTACACAGCTGGCCCCCCTTCCACCTGTTATACTTTTGCCCATTCACAATACTAAACGTATCTCTTCCCTCTCAGTTATTTTTCTCATTCCTTGACCATTTCTGTCTTTTTAATAACAGTTCCCCAATTTTCTCTTTTTCATTGCATACTATTTCCTTGGAATACTTAAAAAGATCCTA